ACTTACGGAGGACGTTTAGAGAACTATAATTTTAATATAAAAATTTTAAAATCTGGAAATGAAAAAGCAGCCGGGACAGCCTGGAACAAAGGTGTATTGTGTTGGCCTGGAAAGGACTGGCTGACGAGTAAGCTGGTGAGTGCTGCAGCAGAGGTTAAGGATGTTTTATCTTCCAGGAGCACCCAGAATATCTTCCCATTCAGCAATGAGCTGAAGACCTGTTTAGGAGTGAGGCTGTGACACAGCTCAGCTGCTGAAAAGCAATGTCACTTTACATTCCTGGAAATAAGCTTTCGGATTAAGCTTATTCTAACAAAGGAAGAACACAGTGTTGAACGAGGGAAGTCTTGCATCTTTTCTGAATAAAAATAAGTGCTTCAAAAGTCTGCTTTCAGAAAGTAAGGAGTTTTGGTGTAGAGGGGGGATGTTGATTTTGTAAGGTATCGATTTCTTCGTGCAAAATAAGAGACGTATGCACTTGCTTCTGTCACAGATACTGGGGGGGGAAAAAAAGAAAGCCCGGCCCTTTTTGTCTTATATTTGGGTAAATCCCGTTGATAAATTGTTAGCAATAGAAACATGGACATTAATGACAAATAACACTGTAAACAATAAGAATTGCAGTTGCAATGACTCATCTTTACGTTATCTTAGTGCGTTTCAAAGGCAGTAAAGGTTTGATGTGCCTCAGAAGAAAGTAGGAGTTTGGATGCTATTTCCCTCTTCCAGGTGAAGGTAACAACTTGATTTTTGTACTGTGAACAGTGGAAACATGACTTTTTTTCTCCTGAATTTCTGTCTGTCTAAAGAAATTTGCAACTCAAAAAAAGGGGAAAGGGTTGCTTTGAGTTACTAAATTGTGGAGAAAAAAAAGCTGCATAAGCTGACCTGTAGCCTGTGTAACCAGACTGAGTGTGACAGAAAGATGGCCGCTATGACATCAGGTGGGCAAAGCTGATGAACAACAGAAAGATGGCCACTATGACATCAGGTGGGCAAAGCTGATGAAATAACTAGTTTAACGACTCGTGCGCAATCCCTGTACGCTAGCTGTGTTAGTATTTAGTCTCACAGCATGAAGTGCCAGCCTCCTTAAATATCCACTTTAGGTAACACTGATTAACTGCTGATATATTTAAATGTTTCCGTTCAGCGTTAATAATTGTTCATTTGAAAATGTGTTAAGTTTTTAGACTGTCATGGAGTTTAAAAAAAAAGAAAAGAAGCATATTAATTAATTACCACTTCCTTCTAGAGATTACTTCCAGCATTTGTGAATTCTGGCTAATGTGGCCTTTCTGTGTAAATGTTAACTTACTACCATATTTTTATATTCTTGAGAATGTATGGTAGGGTTTCTAGAGGTAATTTAATGAATATTCACAATTAGAATTTGTCCTTTACCTTAGTCCTAAAGAGTTGTGGTGAATGGAGTCAAATCC